CACTGCTCCTGGGGGAGGAGGGGGAGGGATGGAAGAGGAGCAGGAGGAGGAGGAGGGACAAATGAGGATCAGGGAAAGGAGAAGGAACTACAAGGTCGAGCACTCCCTGAATTTATAGTCCCCCACCTGTGCGATCATCACCCACCATCCCACAGGTGACTGGGGAGCGGGAGCTTTGCCCAGATATCCTGGGGGGGTCCCTGGGTTGGGTTTATTTGGGGGGGGATGTTTGGAGAATGTGGAACTCCAAAGCTGAGTGGAAAATCCTACTTGGGGGGATATTGGGGGGTCCCACCATCCTTAAGTGGGGAGATGGAAACAGGGGGAACTTTTCGGATTCCTGGCACTCTCAGCAGCCCGGGGAGGGCAGGGACCAAGCCGACAGGTGATCCCCAGTACAAGCGTGACTCCCAGCAGCTGGGACAGGGGGGAACCCTTGAACCCCAAACAGGAGAGACCAGAGATGGGGAACTCCTGGGAGGCATTTTCAGGCTGAATTTTGGTGTTTTCTGAAGGTTTTATGGACCCCAGATGTCCGATGACTTCTAGAGATGAGCTTGGACAGAGGGACCTGCAAACTCAATGTCCTCATCCCTTGTATTTCCCCAAAACAGGATTTCCCATTGCCAAACCTTGGCTGGATGGAGAGGAAGGCTGCAAGAAAGAGGAAGATGCCTCGGGACACCCAGGCAGGTGAGGAGGAAGTCAGTGCCCCTTTCCCTCTCTCTCCTGCTCCATCTCCCAGCCCAGCATGGCCCCCAGCTGCAGGACAACCCTGTTGCCGAGGCCGTCCTGCCGGGGATGCACTGGGGGGATCTCCTTCCCCTTCCCTCTGTCACAGAGGCAAATCCCATCCTCTCCTTGTCCTTCCTCCCTCAGACAAGGAGCTGAGGATGGAGACCAGGGAGGACAAATCCCTGCAGCAGAACCTTGTGGAAGAGGCTGATTTGAGCAGTTCCACAGCGCAGGAATCCAACGGGGAGGAAAAGCCCCGGAGATCCTGCAGGAGGAGAAGCTCCAAACCTATCCCAGGGTGCTCTGAGGAGGAAAGACCCACCCTGTGCCAGGAAGGCGGCTGGAGATCCAGCCGGGGCTCTGAGCTGGTGGTCCATGAGCAGCTTCACAAAGGGCAGAAGCGCTACAAGTGCTTGGAGTGTGGGAAGAGCTTCAGCCAGAGCAACAGCCTGATCTGCCACCAGATGGTCCACACTGGGGAATGGCCCTACAAGTGTGGGAAATGTGGGAAGGGCTTCAGCTTTAACTCCAAACTCATCATCCACCAGCGCAGCCACACTGGGGAGAGGCCCTACGAGTGTTCTGAGTGTGGGAAGAGGTTTCGGATCAGCTCCAGTCTCCTCGTGCACCAGAGGATTCACACAGAGGAGAGGCCCTTCCGCTGCCCTGACTGTGGGGAGGGCTTCAAGCACAACTCCACCCTCACCATTCACCGGCGCATCCACACTGGGGAGAGGCCCTTCAAGTGTGGGGAATGTGGGAAGAGCTTCAGCCAGAGCAACAGCCTGATCTGCCACCAGATGATCCACACTGGGGAATGGCCCTACAAGTGTGGGAAATGTGGGAAGGGTTTCAGCTTTAACTCCAAACTCATCATCCACCAGTGCAGCCACACTGGGGAGAGGCCCTACGAGTGTCCCGAGTGTGGGAAGAGGTTTCGGATCAGCTCCAGTCTCCTCGTGCACCAGAGGATTCACACAGAGGAGAGGCCCTTCCACTGCCCTGACTGTGGGGAGGGCTTCAAGCACAGCTCCACCCTCGCCATTCACCGGCGCATCCACACTGGGGAGAGGCCCTTCAAGTGTGGGGAATGTGGGAAGAGCTTCAGCTGGAGGTCCCAACTGACCATCCATCAGATGGTCCACACTGGGGAGAGGCCCTACGAGTGTCCAGAATGTGGGAAGAGGTTTCAGACCAGCTTCCAGTTCATCAGGCACCAGCAGATTCACACGGATGAGAGGCCCTTCTGCTGCCCTGACTGTGGGGAGCGCTTCAAGCAAAACTCCCACCTCATCACCCACCGGCGCATCCACACTGGGGAGAGGCCTTATAAGTGTGACGAATGTGGGAAGGCGTTCAGCCAGAGCTCCAGCCTCAGTACCCACAAACGCATCCACACCGGGGAGAGGCCCTATGAGTGTCCCCAGTGTGGGAAGAACTTCTCAGACAGCTCTCAACTGACCAGACACAAACGGAGGCACCACTAAGGGAAGCCCTGCGAGTGCTCCAAGTGCAGGAAGAGCTTCGTGCGCTGCTCCAACTCCATCCCCCATCAGTGGGCCCACGTTGGGCAGAGCCCTGATGGCCCATGTTCCCTGTGATCTGTGTTGGGAAGACACTGGGCTGGTGGTCGTTTTGGTTTTGTTCTAATTATCTTTAGATTCATCTTCATCCCTTTGGAACAGACTAAATTGGGGTAAAAATCAACAAATTAATGGCATCTAATTAATCAATGGCACCTAAAACCTCACATTTTACTAGTGCTTCAAGAGAAACTGGGAATCAGGGAGCTACTTGAGAGTATTTAGGGGTTGTGGGGTATTTGGAGTTGTCTCCATTTCTTGGCACTCAAAGAGATGAGGGGCTTCAATCTGTCACCTCAAGACCTCTCAGTGCCTCTGAATGCTACCCAGTCCCACCCCAAAATTATTCAATTCCACCCCCCCTCCAGCTATGATGCCCTTAGTTTTAGCTTTCATATTTTTCATATTCTGCACTGCCTAGGTTTGTAGTTTTGAAGTTCATATTAATTGTTAGTGTCAGAAAAAATTAATCCACGAACACCAGAGGTTTATATGCAAAAAGGAGATAGAGGAGTGCTTTCAATTTTTTCAAATAAAGGGAGAGGCCATGGGGCATTCCCCTGGGATCTCTCTAATTTTTGGAGGGCGCAGCCTCCCTTTTACCCCAATTCCAGGCCGTACGTCCCTTCTCCCTTTCCCCATAGGCTGAGGGATTTGAGAGGTACAGACTTCCTGGTACACATGATACCTGAGATACCATCCCCCCTCCCCCCAGTGCATAATCTCCTTCTTAGTTCTCAGCCCTGTTGGAATTTTATGGTGTTTCCCCAGTGTCTCTTTCATCTTTCAGTTGAATCCATCCCATTGTTTCTGTTATCTCTCAGTGATAGTTTCATTTTATCGGCAGACTCACAGCTTGTTTGTAAAGACAAGTGTCACTCTGATAGTATAAGGTTTTAAAATCTTAGAAAATTTGGGGACTTAGAAAGAAAGTTAGGTTTGGTGAGCCCGGGAAGAGTAGGTCCTGGCAAGTGTTAGGCCTTGTACTTGCTAAAGATCATGTCAAACTGCACCTGTGTAATTGGTATATGATGAATGATACAATTGTTAGATGTGATTAGATATAATTATTGTTTAAAGAACATGAGGAACAATATTAGGGGATTGAGGGGGATCACAAGAAATCCATGCTTGGGTAAAAACAATGCATACAATAGAACAATGTAAGTTTAATAATTAATATGAAAGTTATATAATGATAGAGTATAAAAGTATGTTCAACTCAAAACCAAGTCAGGTCAGATTTGGGTATGTGTACCCCTAACACCCAGAGCTCTTAATAAAGCACCTTCATTTAATCATTCTGTGATTATGTGTGTTCCTGAACACTAACATTTTGGCGACCCCAGATGGGACCTTGTGAGTGCTGCTGAGCGAACTCGTGACCCGATCACGCTCCAGCCGGCACCGAGGGATTCTTGGGGACCCCATCAGCTGCGACCGTCTCTGCTGCTCACAATTTCCCCAGGAGAGAAAGGTAAGGTGCTTTACTGTGGGGGTCAGAAAACCAGCTGATTCAGAGAACCTGGCTCTCCCTTGGAGGCAAGGCACTTTCTCTCAGAGATAGAAAAGTATTAC